GTTACTTATAAGTAAATTAACAAAACAAATTTTTGCTTTAATTTCTAATAAAGCAATATCAATAGGTATAAGCCACACATGGGCCTTTAGGGTCTTAAAATTTTTTAAGACCATTAAGTGGTCCTGAGAACAAAAAATGTAAGAAGCACTGTCGTATACAATTATATAACACAACACACAGTGCCTTCCAGGGATAAGAAGCTCAAGTTAATTCTGAAATATAATTACTACTTACCACCCTAATCTTGTTGAGTTCTGTATCTCCTTGTAAAGCATAATTCAGCATAAAGCCAGTCTGTTCTGGGCTCCATTTAATGGGCTTTAGATATTTAATTACTCAGGGTCTTCTTTATAAAAATGTTCTAAGCTGCAATTCCACCTATTATCTGGACAGTGTAGAACAGTTTCTGGATGTTTTCACAAAAATTACTTTTTTTGTGAAAAACAGCAACCTGTGAAGTAAATGCAAAATAATACTTCCTCTCTTTTAACAGATGACACAACAAATCTGATACTCAAAGGAATCAGAACTACTTGTCCAAGAATGTATTGCTAGCTAGTAGGGCCTACGATGTTGGTCTTTTGCAATTTGCTTGGCTATCTCGCTCGGGTATAATTGCAAGCTCCCAAAGAAAACAAGGCAAGGGCATTACTTTTATTGTCCCAGAGCCAAAACAGGGATTTTTCCTCTCCTTAATAAGAATGTAATCAGACTTCAATATCCAGTCACAGCATTATTCAACACACTGACTACCCATTTGGTCCTCTACCAAAAAATAAATAAATAAAATTCAAGAGTGTTGGAGGAAAAAAAAAAAACAGAACACAACGCTCCAAGATGATCAGTTAAAGACTCCCAGATTTACCAATCATTTAATCATTGAAACAACAGGCAGGCAAGAACAAGATCAAGCTTAATACAATAACACTAGATTATATCAACAAATGAATGCCAACAGGCTAAAATGGGAAGCACAGATGGAAAGGGTTCAATTCACAATGTGGACAGAAGACAAAACCCACACAAGGTTGAGAAACTAGCTTAATTGGTTTATAAATCCAAGCAAGTGACTAGAATCACCTTTGCAAAGCAGTGTCGGAGGCAAATTTTCTTGCAAGATGCAAAAATGCCATTCTATCCCTTGGACAGAAATCACTCATCCTTTAATTTTAACATACTAGTTAATTCTTACCATCAGAATATGTCTCTCTGTTTTGCTCCTGCATCTCTATTCCACAATTAACTAGATTCCCTGATAGAGGCAAGACAGACTAACAACAGGATATTTGCCACTAGCATAATTCTTGTCTTTTTTTTAATATATGATTGTGTCAGTGAAGCCATTTTTAAGTTTGATGTGATTTTACCTATAAAAAGTCAAAAGTGTGCTAGCTGTCCACTTTGTATTGAGCAACAGTAATTGCTCCATTCCTTGGAAGGTATGTTTTCCAAGTATTTTATTTCCTTTTCCAAATCTCTTTTGGAAAAAAAAAATTAAGTTCCAGAGCTATAGCTAATGTGCCACCAATCAATTTGAAAAGCAATGTGATACACCCTATTTTTTTTGTGTGCCACACTCAACATTTACTGTTGAAGATATATGTACAGGTTAAGAGTTAATTTATCCAAGTTTCTGCATTCTCAGGAAAGAACTACAATACTACACTGTGAAACCAATTAACTAGTTAATTTTTAAAGCCTGCATGTAGAAAAAGATGAGAGTTTACAACACAAGCAAAGCATCAAACGTCCGAGAGTTTCAAAAAACTGCATTTATTTCTATTCCTTAACCTAAAGTATGTTTTTCTTTGTAGCTACATTTTCCCAAATACATAATCATCCTTTAAGAAGCAATCTGCGAAGAAGAAACCTGCCAAAAGTGTTAAGCATTCTCTAACCTATCTTCCCAGTCCAACCCAAGAGAAGTGTCACACAGCTAAATCATACCATCGCTATTTCTATATTTCTTTAAACTCGAGATTTCTGAAGTGTACAATTCAAATGTTAACGCTACAACCCTGGTTAATAGTGATCATCTTAAAGCTAATAAACAAAGACTAGCGGCGGCACTAGGGCCCTACCAGGAAGTAATCAAAGCAGGGTGGCCGGTGCGATCCTAAGAAGTCGATAGAGCAGACAATGAGAGGGCACTAGGGGTTCGAAAGGGGCCCGCAGAGGGAGTTAGAAGCTTAAGCTACTCAAAAGCATTAAATAAACCTAGTAACTGTTTTACAAAAACTCGAACTCTAGAATCCAAACGCAATTCCAGACAACCCAAAATTGTGTCTTGAAACAATCTTAGGCAAACTCGAGCCACCCCTCCAAAAGCAGCTGTTGGGTCGAGCTTCGGAGCTCTAGAGCCTACAGCCTGTTTTCAAACTTCACCCTCCCAGGCTGATGAAAGATTCCGACCTCCGCCGCCCGAGCTTCTGAACGCCTCTCGAGGCTTCGGGTTGCCTGAGCCTGTGGGGAAGGGAAATAAAGCCCGGCCAAGGCAGGCGGCCGCGAAGGGCCCCGCGCGCCCCACAGCCCAGACAAAGCTGCGTCAAGAGAGCGGCTTTTTTTTTATCCTGTCGGGTCCACTGAGGAAACCAAGTCGGGCTCCGCTACACGTGCGGCAGCCCGGCGGGGGCCGGACACCGCCTCCACAACCACCGCCCCCACAACTGCCGACCCCGCAGTACCCGCGAGCACAGCCCCCGAGCGCCTCAGGGCGGGGCAAGGGGCGCGAACGCCGGCCAGGGTCCCCGCCCGCCGCGGCCCCGACACGCTCGAGGCCCCCGCGGACTCCCGCCCCTCGCCGGCCTTTCCTTCGCCGGCCGGACCGTCGGGCCGCGAGAAACAAAGGAGCCGCCACTGCTCCCACCCGCGCCCGCTTCACCGCGTACCCCTCCTCAGCGCGTCGGGCCAGGCTCGCTCTCACCCGTCCCTAGGTCCGCACACCGGCTGCCTGCGGCCCTTAGACGGCAGGCCCGGCAGAGCCGGGGCCTCGGGTGCGCGGCCGGCCGGCTCGGGGCCGCACTCACCGCTGCAGCACCAGGACGACGGGGAGCCGTTGGGGAACTTGGCTGAGTCCGGAGCGATGCAGACGCTGGAACTGAGGTGCGGGCACTCCATGGCCACGAGGACCGTGGCAGGGAGGACAGAGGCTCCGGGGCCGAACGAGGCGGGGGCGGAGGGACTCTGGAGGCTCCGTCTGGGGTCGCTCCTCGCCGGGCGCTAGGCAGACAGCGGCTGCGTCCCGAGCCCTTGCGTCAAAGAAAGCAAGGGCTTCCGGGCGCCGGGTTTTCCCGCCCGCCTTCTCTCAGCACTCCGCTCCGAAGAACGTGGAATTCCGGGATCCGGGTTCTGCCGCCACCTCTAGACCCGAGGCTTCCGCCTTCCCGGGCAGGCCCCGCCCCCAAGGCCGGCTCCGCCCCCGTGCACTCCCACGGGTGGGGTCTCCGCGCGCTCTACCCGCATCTGATAGCTCCGGGTCCTGCAGCGCTTGGAAGTGACTTTCCCAATTCCGCTCCCCTGGGCGGCTGCGGCTTCCCTGACTCAGGGAAGGGGCTACCGGGCCCCGGCAGACAAGTCCGGTCCTCTGGTCTACCGGGTCCGGCGAAGGAGACTGATATTGCATGGCGTCGTTGGTCTGACTACAACGCGGCTTAGTGGTAGAAAAATCTGGCCACGCAACAGAGGGACAGAAAGAAAATACAAACCACTCGGGCAGACGGGCACCGTAACCCTCCCATTTTACCTAGCAAGAAACAAGCCCGGGAGATTAAGCCTGGCCCTGTGTTTGCGCCAGTGGGCTGCTTGGGTCCCAGAGCAATCTAATTCTGTCCTTTGAGACAGGTGTGGTTCTGAGCCGGTTCTGAGTTCTGCGCACACGGCCGTAGCTGGAAGATGAGTGGCTGGGCCTATTGGGGCACCTACGAACCTGGATTCAGACCTGGTCACCGTGATTAACTTTCAGCGTTACCACGAGCACGTCGTCCTGAACTTTACAAATCTCACCGCTGGAAATTTAAGTGAAATAAATGTAACCTGGTTTTCGAGGTCCCGCTACCAGGTGATAAAAAGGGAAGGGATCTAACATTGTTAGACACGCTGAACCGCTTCCCTGCCAGGCACTTTGCAATACAAAATACCTCATTTAAGCTTCGCTACACCCTACAACTGATGTTACGATTCTCTTTTTACCGCGGGGGACGTCGAGTCTATTAATTTGCTAATCCGTGCCGAGATTAGGTCCTCTGCTCTCTGGCCTATTTTAGAAAAGAGTTTATGGGAGGGCAAACCTCTAGGGGCTGCTTGGATTCGCCTTACACCGGAGCCGGAGGGGCCTGCGACTTAACTAGGGACAGTCTTAAGGACACCAGGGCTGTTACAAATATTGCCTCAGAAGTTTGGGCTCCTTGAAAACCCGTGAAAGGAGCCACAAGGCCAGAAGGCAAGCAAGGGGAGGGGGAAGACTGATGTAGCAATTCAATGGGCAGAGTGAGGGGGGGAAGGAAGGTCCGGAAATGATTAACTGGACCGGGTAGTGGTTAGAGTGGGGCACCTCCCCGAAGTGCAATCTTGGAGCAGCCCAAGGTCACTCCCTTGGTCACTTCTCACTACTCCCTCAACCCCAGCAGTCCTCTGCTAATGGTGTCCACCTACCTGCAGCATCTTTGAGACCWTTCCCCCCCCTTTGTTTCTTCAAAGTTCCTTTGCCCTTTTCCAAATTATATTATTGAAGTTATTGCAGTGAGGAGTTGTGGAAAGTGCATAGGAAGCCAGGTAAGCAAGTGTTCAAATCTTAATTCTGCCATTATTTGGTGGCCAACCTTAGCAAGTGTTTTTAGTCTTTACCCCTCCCTCAACCTTTTTCTTAATCTGTAAAACTGGAAAAATAATACCTATCTGAAAAAGAAATTAAATCACGAGATTTGCTACCATGTAGTAGGTATTAAATATAGTTTTGTTTATAACAGCAGTTGTGGGATGCTTCCCACAGGATAAACAATAAACAATAATATCTAACCTTTGCTCAAGCTCTTCCACCTATCTCCTCCTACCAGTCTATTTATCTTTCAGGCTTGGCTCAACCAATCTTCTGTTTCTCTCAGGACATGTTCCCCATTTGGTATCTATAGCCCCTCATTTGGCCATGGAACAGTCTGACTCATGCTGTCTTATACTGGTATGTAATGTTACTTTTTTTCACCCTCTCAGAAACTGTTTCCTAATCCCCTAAACCTCAGTTTAAACATCATTTCCTCCAGGGAGGCCTTTTCTGACCCTGCTCCACCCCCAGGGTACCTCCCAGGGTGTGATGCCCTTGACTGCCCCCACACTGCCTTTATAAAACATTCTTCGTGCATGTAATTATTTGTTTAATGTCTGTCTTCCCCTTGGAGGTCCATAAGGGTAGCAAACAAGTCTGTCTGGTTTCCTGCTTTATTTCTAACAGTATGTAGAACATGGAAGGTGTCCAATAAATAAGGGTTCAATGAATGGAAGAGTGGGTGAGTGATGCTTTAGCAATATTTAGGAAGAAAGGAGTTTAGGAAGTGCCCATATATATATCAGGTATTTCCACCTTGAGAGTAATCTGTACATTTCAATTCTGAGTTTGTGATTTTAAAAGGATCAGACATGTTAAAGCATCTTGTAAGGTATAAACTGCTAAAACAGATATATTAGTATTATATATTATAGTATTATTGTCATCTCTCCATAACCAGAATAAAAATTCTGTGGAACAGAGGCCCTATTTTAGCCATCCTTGATTTTGGTCATCCCCTAAAGGGTAAACTCAGGCAGTCCAAAGAAGTCCAATGGAATCAGAGAAGGTTTCCTGGGGCTTTTGGTAGCCTGCCCTAAAACAGAGAACTTTCCTGTGTCTTTGAAAGTTTTCACAGTAAGAAAAATTTGAAGGGGGTGGGGAACCCCTCAGTKAGTAAATGTGTTAAACAGAGGAAGGCCATGGGGCACCCTGGGAAATCTGCCTTTTCATCCATGGATTCTGCAGCTGCATTTAATACAACGTTCGCTTTTTTGTTCTTGGCTGGCGTCCCTTTGGCACCCAAGAGCTCCGACTTACATACCAGCATGCCCAGATAGTGAGGAGGGAGCTTCCAGCTCCATTGCTTTGCACCGCTGTTTCCACCACCCCATACCCTACCCAGCCCCCTGGACATCTGCCGGGGCCACCCGCCCAAACACCTGCCAGAAGCAGTGGGCCTATTTTAAAAGTGTGCATTTTTTGCACAGGGGAGGAATGTGCAATTCCAACAGTACTATCAAATGATTCTCATATAAAGAATGTGTATATACATTGGAGTGGGAAGAAGTGAAAGAAGGGGATGTTCCCAATTGCATAAGAACTGTGATCAGGAAAAAGCTCAAGGTTGCTGCAACCTTCCAAAAATTTAGACTTGTGACTTATGGTAGAATCTGTGGTCCTCAAGAATTATAAAGCTCTGACTATCCCCATTCAGGTAAGACTGATTAGAAACACCCAGAGAGCTGGCTTAAATATTTACTATAGAGATTTTTCTARGAGCAAAGCCTCCTTGGAAAACCAAAGTTAGATCAAGAGGAGGCTTCAAAGCATTGAAAAGTGTTGGGGGTGGAGGAGCATCAGCTCAAAAACTCTTCTATCACCAGGTTTCATTTTCCTAGCAGCACTGATCTGATATTTTCTTGCTTGTTTACTTATTTATCTATTATCCATCTCCTCGTGAGATTGGAGACCTTGCCAGTCTTGTTCGAAGCCTGATTGCCAACTCCTGGAATACAGCTTGATATATGCCAGGCCCTCAGTAACTATTTGTTGAATGACTAAATAAAAGGGGAACAGGGGAAACAGCTCAGAATCCACATCCTCAAGGCTCTGGGTTCAATCCCCAGACAGCAAACCCACTCACCCATCCCCAAAAAAAGGGGTGATGATAGGCATGGGTTTCAGCAGATGCACCCTCACTTTCTTACCCAAGAATATTGGTGATGTCATTCTTCTCACTTCTTTCCATTCACCCCTTTCACATTACCTCCCTGATCAAAATTCTTCACTGGGTCCCCTACATAGTCACCTGTCACCTCCCTTTTGCTAAAGTTTTTGTGTGTTTTTAAAAAAATTGTTCTAGCAGTACCTAAAATCATTCTCCTATTATACATAACGTTCTTCCTCACCACTCTGTGCCCTCCTCATCTGGTCCCCTTCTACCTAGACACCTCCTTCTCCTCCTTCATTAAACACAGTGCCTTTTCAGGGCAATCCTCCATCACTCACCCAAGCTGACTTCAAAGTCTTCCCTCACTACCACCCCCCACCGCCCCCACCTTCTGTCCCTGCAGTTTGTCACAGAGTGCTGTTATTTTCTGGTCACATTTTGGTCTCACTTGAGAGGTGTTTTTATTTTCATCCATGTTCTTGGTATTGAGTAAGCAACAGCAGATATTAAAACCAATTATATTTGTTGATAGAAGTTTTCGTTTCTTCTTTAATCCCTGGAAGATAGATAATACCACCTCCATTTTACTAAAATGGAGAGAACTAAAGCTTAAAGAGGGTTAAATAATTACATACATTTGTACAACTAGTAATTGTTCATTTATCAGAGAAGGCAAAGTTTTTATCCTTTCTGTACATGGTCATCTAAATGATTTTGCAGTATTATATGAAGTTACTGATGAGAAGGAGTCTTAGGAACCACAGGACACAGAAGAGCCTTCTGAGTGAATAATCATTATGTTTACTACCACTGTAATAATTATATCAACATCTTAATTTGTATTGCCTTTGTTTTCCTCTTTATCTCTGAGAGCCTCTTTTGTGAAGATGAGGTTTTCCTGTTTAAAGACCTCTTTGCAGATAAAATACTGATGGATTAAGCACCACAGAATGGCTCTAGCACCAAACATCCCCCAACAGGGAAGGAGTCACTGCTTTCCCTGGCCCCAGTCTTTCCATTTGCAACATCTGAGGTTTGAACTTAATAATCACTCTTACATGAGTGAGCACTCACAATCTGTGATAGCTCATGGCTACCTAGTGACACTAACAGAAGGAAGACCATCTCTCTGTGCTACGGCAGTGATCACTAACTATTCACCCCAAATCTGTTTTCTTTTCCTTTTGGGTTCACAAATAGTACTTTCTCAGCTTCCCTTGCAGTGAGGTGTTCCTGTCAATGGAATCTAAAGAAATCACAAGGTTCAGCCTTGAATAGCACTGTGAAGAGCCACCCATGACTCAAATATTTCAATGTCCAGTTTGGTTTATCAGCACATAGAGGAAAATATTAGGCTAGGCCCAGAAGGATATGGGTCTGCTAAGCTTCACTTATGCCCTTTCTGTGTTGCCTCTTCAATTCTTCGTTTATTTAATCAGCAGGTCTGTCTGCACTCTTATCATTTGCTAGTCACTGGTAAATGCTTAGAGCTATGTGGAATCCTCCTCTACAGACATTCCTCTGCCACTCACTATCAAGAGGAAAACCACTGTGGTTTTACTCATTTTCTCTTGATTGCTAATTGCCTGATTGGTATGTCCACACCTCTGAGTTTCCAAATGTTGTTTAGATTTGGGCCTTAAGCCTTTCAATGGTGTAAATGACATCCCATGTAAAGGGCCTGCTTGGTGCTTGGCATACAATAGACCTTCAATAAACATCTGTTTCCTTGAGACCTTAGCAGGTAGGAGAATTGATGTGGGAGGTCGGGGATGATGGCCTAATACCATTGGTTCTAGTATAGCTGGCACAGAAAGTTAGATTTTTGTCCTTTTAAAGGGATCTGGAGGGCTGGGGTTGTGGCTCAGTGGTATAGCACTCGTTTAGCATGTGTGAGGCACTGGGTTCAATCCCCAGCACCACATAAAAACTAAATAAACAAAAAAAAAGTTATTGTATCCATCTCAAACTAAAATAAATAAATAAATAAATAAATAAATAATGAAAAAAAATAAAGGGATCTGGACCAGGTCATTTGTTCACCTGATATCACTGATATGCTAAGCTTTGTGATATAAAAATGAGCAACACACAGCCTTATCCTCAAAGGGATGAAGAAAAAGGTACAAGACAGACACCAGCAAATAGGCAATTGCAACAGTGTGATAAGTGCTAGGAGGGGAAGTACAGGATGTTTCTTAGCCACAAACAAGGGACAGAAAACTAACCCAGGCTGGTGAGTGGGTGTTGGGGTGGAGGAAGTGTCAAATAAGACTTCCTGGAGGAAGTGGCAGATAGCTTGGGACCTGCTTGATACCCAGGTAAAGAGTGTGAAATCAGGGTAGAGAAGGGAGCATAGTATCTCAGRCAGAGGGAACAATTGCAAAGGCTCAGAGAAGATCTGAGACTGCTGATCCAGCTGGAGAGTTGGGTACAAGGAAACAGAAGGCTAAGAGATGAGGCTGGCAAATAGGCAGAAAAGACAGGGTTTATAACAAAGAACTGCCAACACAGAGAAATTTGGGTCCTCAGGACACTGGCATCTCAGGGTTACACTTTGCCAAGTCCTAGGAGAAGGGATGAAGGGGCAAAGATACAGGAAGAAGAAAGGAACTAATAATTATTAAGCATCTGTAAGGCATTCAGCTGCATTAGTCATCTGGGAAATTCAAATTAAAACCACAGTACAAACCTAGCCAGAAACAAACAAGCAGGGGTGAGAATGAAGATATGAATCCCCCCCCCCACGCACACACCCCATCTTGACCAGATCTCAGAACTGTTCTTGAGGAACTTACAGTCCACTGAGAGGAAAAGGCAAACAATTTTTTTTGGCGGGGGGGGGGGGGCGGTGCTGGGGATTAAACCCAGAAGGCAAGCACTCTACCGACTGAGCTACATCCCCAGCCTCCAAACACATTTTAAGATATAGAATTGTGATGGAGAAAGGAATTCTAGGCATAGAGAACCCCAATTCTGCTGCCTCCTATTCTTTCTTAACCTTCATGTGACAATTTAGCTATCCAGAATATTTAGTTATCCAGAAAACAAATTTCACAAACATCTAGAACATACATTTTCATAGTCTGAACTCTAAAGTGATGTACTTTATGAACTGAAAAGAAGCAGGGTTTTGGGGCCAAGCAGGCTATGGTCCCATCTCTACTGCTGATCTGCTGTGTGACATTAGGCCAGCATCCTGGCCTCTCCTGAACATCTATGAAACTGGAATAATAAGAACTGC